TTTTTTTTACAGTTGTCATTGTTGTTCAGCAGGCCCGGGCAGGGTTTGAACTGCAAGTACTGAGTGTATGTGGCCTGAGCCCTAGCTGCTTAGCTATAGGTATCAAGCCTAAGATAGATTCTCAAAAAAAAGGGCCAGGCGTGGTAGCTTACACCTGTAATCCCACCACTCTGGGAGGCTGAAGCAGGCAGATCATTTGAGCTCATGAGCTCAAGATGAGCCTGAGCAAGTACGAGACCTCATCACTAAAAACTAGCCGGGCATTGTGGCAGGCACCTGTAGTCCCAGCTACTTGGGAGGGTGAGGCTAGGGGATCGCTTAAGCCCAAGAGGTTGAGGTTGCTGTGAGCTATGACACTACAGCACTCTATTGGGGCAAGAAAGTGAGGCTGTCTCAAAAAAATTCTGAAAGGAAACTGCTGAACAAAAGGGTATGTACCATCCACAATTTTTAAAGTTTTAGATAAATGCTGCCCAAGTGACCTCTTTAAAGACTGTAACTGCAAAGTACATTTCCTCTCTCTGTACAGGGTGTCCATAAAGTTCGGTGCTTAATTTCATTTATTTATTTATTCATTTAATTGGGGTGAGGGGAAGACAGAGTCTCAGGCTTTTGCCTTGGGTAGAACGCCGTGGCGTCATAGCTCACAGCAACCTCCAACTCAGGCTCAAGTGATCCACTTGCCTCAGTTTTTCTATTTTTTAGTAGAGACGGGGTCTTACTCTTGCCCAGGCTGTCTTGAACCTGTAAGCTCAAGCAATCCACCCACCTTAGCCTCTCAGAGTATTAGGATTACAGAGCCACCTTGCCCGGCCCATTGTGCAATTTTAAATTGCACATGAACTTAATGGCCACCCTGTATAAGAACCAACTGTAGGCATTTTAACAAATTTAAGAACACAGAATATGCTAATATCTGATCAATTGCCCATCCACTTCCAGAACAATTTTAGCATTATTATTTCACTGACCTTAACAACCTCTAGGATGCGAACTGCACTAGCAAAATCATTTAATCGTCTGCACGCTCGCAAAGCAGCATCAATGATTTTGGGTTCTGGAACCAGATCATAGCCAACAAGTGTGTTCATTCCTGCAAAATTAAAATGAGAAGCCAGGTCAACCTGGAACATTGTCTACAACTTAGTTATCTGTATATTTATTGAATATGTTTATGGACATGTGATCTTATCTGTTTGGATCTTTATTCTCTTGTCTATAAAATAAGAGATCTAGGCTCAGCACCCATAGCACAGTGGTTACAGCACCAGCCACATACACCAAGGGTGGTGGGTTCGAACCTGGCCCAGGCCAGCTAAACGACTGCAACAAAAAAGTAGCTGGGCATTGTGGCAGAGGCCTGTAGTCCTAGCTACTTGGGAGGCTGAGGCAAGAGAACAGCTTAAGCCCAAGAGTTGGAGGCTGCTGTGAGCTATGACGCCATGGCACTCTACTGAGGGTGACATAGTGAGACTCTTTCTCAAAAAAAAAGGAGAGAGATCTACCTTTAACAAATTCTAGATAGTAAGATCATGGTGGATCTTCCACAGTTAATCAGTGAAAAAAATAATGCAACAGCATCCAGACTGAAAGAAAAAACCCTAAGAGTTTTCTTAAATGCAAGCACTATTTTCATAATTAGCTTGCTTCTTTTCAAATAAGAGGGTCATTTTCAACCCCTATCTTTAATGGTTAGTACAATGTATGTATTTTTGGATGCCTTAAAACAGATGCAATTGGAAAATAATCTAAAAACCACCAGAGAAAAGCTTAAGGAGAGTTAATGAAGCTCAAATGAGGACATTAAGGAGCTATCATAGAGAATCATTAGTGCACAAACTCACAAACATTCAACCAGAAAATGACTGGGCATGATTACTTTCAAATTTGCACAAAATGACACATCATAAAATTTAAGATTCTCTTAATGGAAACACAGAATTGCTGTTCTTTTCATTACTTCTACTCAAGATTATTTGGTAAGCATTCCCTGGTTGTAGCAAAAAGGAGTCATTACATTCCTGCAGAGAAATTTAAAGCAGTTTGGTCTCTTATTATTTGAAAACATTTAAACCAAGAATACCAGTGAATACAACGCTAGAATGCAGTCACAGCATCTGAATATTTGGTCTGAGATAAATTATCCTACACTTAAAATTAGTATCACTAAATGCTACTTATTCATGTTAAATATGTATCTGCAAACTTAGGAAAGACAAATTCTAGCTTATTTAGACTAGACACTGATTCAGGCAAGACAATTCATAACTGAAAATAAAAATAACAAAAAAACAAACCATGACCCAGAGGGAAAGAGAACTAAATGAGTGCTTGTGTAAATTATTTAAAATGTACATCCATCCCAATACTATTTGAAGAAAGAAAGAAAAGAAAATGTACAAAACTGTTAGCTTTTGCTCATCTAGCCCTATGGCCACAGCAATGGTTTTCTATCAAGGTGGTTTTATCCCCCAGGGAACACTGGGTAATGTTTGCAAACATTTTTAGTTGTCAAAACTGCAGGGATATATATGTGCTGGCATCTAGCAAGTAGAGGCTAATGATGCTGCTAAACATTCTACATTGTAAAGGATCATAGCCCAAAATGTCAATAGTACCTGCTTCAAAACACTTACTATGGAAGCTATAACCTTTCCTACCTAAAGCTGCATGATGTTTACCAGTTTACAGGATACATGTTTTCAAAATAGCTGCTTTCAACAAAGCAGCAGAAAGAGTTTGTATTTACACACTAAAATACACAAGTATGTCTATGTTCCAATTACCTTTCCGCAATTCCCAGGCATCTATATCTGGCTTGTTGAAGTATGTCACCCAGCGAGCATCAAACTCTTCATCTGTCTCATGTGACCCATGGGAATAGCAGCGAATTGACTGGATAGCTACAAAGTGATAAAAGAGCAATGACTTCTATGTATGAAAATAGTACTTGATATATCTTGTTAAATGCAATAAATTTTATTTATTTATTTTAGAGACAGAGTCTCACTTTGTCACCCTCAGTAGAGTGCTATGGCATCACAGCTCACAGCAACCTCCAGCTCTTGGGCTTAGGTGATTCTCTTGCCTCAGCCTACTGAGTAGCTGGGACTACAGGTGCCTGCCATAACACCCAGCTATTTTTTGATTGCAGTTTGGCGGGGGCCGGGTTCAAACCCACCACCCTCAGTATATGGAGCCAGTGTCCTATTCACTGAGTCAGAGGCACCACTCAATGCAATAAACTTTAAATCAACTATATATGTTAAGGCAGAAAAAATATTCAACAGGTCAAATGAAATAAACTATGTATTGATATAGAAAGATATCTTTAAAATTAAACAAAGAAAAGCAAGTAAAACAAAAAGTATCATATTGTATAGGTATATTTATACTTTTTCCTCAATGTGTAATACTAGCTTGAAATTATTAACAGTGGCTCCCTTTTGTTTGGTTTAAGTTGTAAATGATGTTTATCTTTGGCAGGGAAAAACTTTCTGTTATTAGAGATAGGGTCCCACTCTGTTGCCCTGACTAGAGTGCATTGGCATGTCATCATAGCTCCCTGCAACCTCAAACTCCTGGGCTAAAGTAATCTTCCTGCCTCACCCTCCTGAGTACCTGGGACCACAACATGGACCACCACACTCAGCTAATTTTTTTTTAGAGACAGGGTCTTTTATCCTGCTCAGGTTGGTTTTGAACTCCTGGGCTCAAGTGACTCTCCCACCTCAGTCTTCTAGCAGCTAGGATTATAGATGCCTGCCACTTTCTCTGGCTGGATTCATTCTCAACAGCCTCTCAATGAGGTGGGGAATAGGAGGTAAGAACTTTTACCTTTGGGTCCTGGGATGCAGTACAACCTAGTGGTCAGATACCTTCAGGGGTGTCTAACCCCCAGTCCACAGGCTATATGCTGATTATGTGATAACTTTCTTCCTTATCTGTGGTGATGATGGATATCACAAAAATGACACAGGGACTTTTTTTTTTTGCTCATCAGCTTTTGTTAGTGTTTATGTATTTAATGTGTGGCCCAAGACAACTTTTCTTCCAGAGAAGCTAAAAGGATGGACACCCCTATTAGGCTCTTCTTCACTGCCCTACTGTTTGTTTGATCCTAGGAAAACTGAGTTTCATTTTTCTTATCTGCAAAATAACAATACAACTACCTTAGCAGATTACAAAGATTAAATATGAAATCAGGTAGGTAACACTGTGCTCACTGCTGGGCTGGAATTTGACTAGATGAGTGCTAGCTTTGTTTCCTAACTATGAAAAAGATGACCAACAACTGCAAAACTAAGTCAAGACCATTATCTTCGTTAATTTGATCATCTCTCTCTGGAAGACAAATTACAAACTGGTTGTATTTCAAAATCTGTTTAGAAAACAACTATTTGGGTGGTGCCTGTGGCTCAGTGAGTAGAGCGCTGGCCCCATATACCCAGGGTGGCGGGTTCAAACCTGGCCCCGGCCAAACCGCAACAAAAAAATATCCGGGCATTGTGGCAAGCACCTATAGTCCCAGCTACTCGGGAGGCTGAGGCAAGAGAATCACCTAAGCCCAGGAGCTGGAGGTTGCTGTGAGCTGTGACGCTGCAACCGGCACTCTACCCAGGGCAATAAAAAAACAACTATTTGGGCTCGGCGCCTATAGCTCAACCAGCTAAGGCGCCAGCCACGTACACCTAAAGTGGCGGGTTCGAATCCCCAGCCCGGACCCGCCAAACAACAATGACAGCTGCAACCAAAAAATAGCCGGGTGTTGTGGCGGGCGCCTGTG